GATTTTTGGTGAGTACACATATAAGATTTGCGGTGATGACATATATGAATTATGAGATGTCACATAAAAGTCTTTAAATTTTGGATAGTTACGACAAATAATTTAATTAATTGTAGTGTGTGTGTAATACCTGCCGATTTTTATTTTCGGAGAACTTGTTGGAAATTTATTTAAATCAATAAATCGAGAAATTTTCACATGTGGAGCTACGAAATAGAAACACAGTCTCAAATCAAGCCCAATTCCTGTGATATTGGGCCCAGAGCCCCAAAATGTATGTATCGAAAATCTTTGTGATGTTAGAAGAAGCATTTTAAAAGTATTCCGAGGAAAATAATATGGAAGCTTGGCTACTAATTTTTATTATAAGAATATAGATGACATATAAAATTAATCTCCTAAAAAAAATCAAATTTAATGGGATTAGCTATGTATTATGGAGCCTGAAGCAAACAATCAAAAATAAATCGAACCCGGGGATCCCGAAAATTTAATTTTAATTACTGTCGAAAAGGCCACACGAAATAATCTAAAAAACCGAGTGAAAAAACTGCGAAAGACAAAGAAATGGAGACCAGAATTACTAGAGTCCAGACAAACCAGGTTCGAGATCAAAATCCGGAATGGTCTAGAAGGGCACGAGGATTTTTTTTTTTTTTTTTTTTTTCTTTTTCTTTTTCTTTCCTTATTCTTTTTCCTTTTCTTTTCTCCTCCTTTTCCTTCTTCGCAGCGCGCGACAGCTCTCTCCCCTCTCCTTCCCGTTAGCACCGACCTACGAACTCCCCTCCCCTTTCTGTTGCCGTGTCAGCCAGCCAACGCCACTGTCCTAACCGCCGCCAGCTGCACCCGACGTCCCTGTCCTCTCTGTCTCTGGCTCGTCTCTCTCTCTCTCTCTCTCCTGACTTCGGTCCTTGCACAAGCGACAGAAACTAATTGGAGACGAGTGGATAGTCGAATCGCAAAAGGGTGCGATTGCTGTCCTTCCCTCCGAGCAACCATTGAATTAGACCAAACCGGTTCGAATCGAACCGAAATGGTCTAGAAGCGTTGGCCTTTTTTTTTCTTTCTTTTCTTTCTTTTTCTTTTCCTTCCTTTCCTTCTTCTCCAGGCGCGCGATCCCTCCCTCCTCCCTCTCCTTCTGTCTCCGGCCACCAGACTGACGATGGTGGGTGGCGATCGATCCCTCTCTTGCCACCGGTCACGTTGCCATCATCAGTCATGCCGATCAGGCCCTCAGCAGCGACGACGCGAGCTCTTCCCCGGCGACACGACTGCCTCCTCTGTACCAATGCGATTCTCCGGTGAGGCTCGACGATATCGGTGATCTTCTATGGCTTAGCTCGATAGGTAATGAATCTTCAACAGTTTTATTAATGATTTGATCATCGGATGGAGATTTGAGAAGAAATTTAGATCTAGTTTTCAATTTGCATTGATTTAGGATTTTTGACAATTGGGTGTTGAATGGTGAAATTGATTTGAGATTTGGGTTCCTTATGCAAAATCGAGTCAGATGGCGTGAACGACACTTGGTTCTGGGCATCTGCGACTTTCCGGCCACCGTATACGGCGGCATTCCGGTGACCGGCCGGCGAGACTCGAGCGAGGACTCCGAGAGGCAGAATGATCTCCTCTTCGCGCGGGTCGCGGAAATCAAATCCGATTTTCCATCGGGACATTGTAAGGCTTAGTTGTCCATTTTCGGTATAAAATTGACAACGTGAATTAATTAATTAATTGGATATAAGATTAATTGAATTATTAAAATTGGAGATTTATGCAGTTAAATTGCAATTGTTGAATAAATTTCGTGTTAATTAATTAACGAATTAATTGAGTAATTAAGTGAATTAAATTGAATATTATTAAAAGTAACTACAGTATTGATATTGAAATATGAATTTTAACTAATAATTATATATGTTAATTGCAGGAATTTTAAGAAGTATAACTAGAAGAAAATTATAATTTACGGTATAAGTAATTATATGATATTATGGAAATTTAAAATGAATTAGAGATAGGATTAACAAGTGCCTATGTATGTATGACGGGTGACTACTAAATGATGGTTATGATGGACGGGATTGTTTGATGTGAATTGCCCGATGGATGGGCTGTGTGTTGACATGCGGAAAAATATAAAATTTGGGTAGTACTGATTATAGAGGAAATGTTGTCGAATTTTTCAATAGGAAGTACGATTAAACTGATTATTGTTATTAATATTATATTATCAATCGTATTATTATTATGAATTTATTCGTATTATTATAAAATATTACTTAACAAATACCTAAACGTTTTATTTAAAAGTGATACATTAGAATAGATAAATAAGGAAACCCAATATATATATCTAGAAATATATGTATAATTTAATTAAGTGAATTAAATAACTAATAACCAAAACTAATAAAGGAGTAAAGAACTGATAACCAAAACTTTAATGAACGAGATTATTTGGAATATGAATCTTTCGAATTAAAATTCTTATTGTAGACATTTTATTGTTTATTTTAAAGGTCTATAAAATTCCGTGAATGCGAGGAAACGGCTGGAAGCATGTTTGCTAGAAAACAGTCCCTTAGAGGACTGATAAAGGAACTGTGAGTAGTGTTACGATACTAGTATCATCCGCTTGCATTCATGATTCACGGCTAAATGTTGGCAATGCCTTATTTTGGTTGAATTGCCATATTATGATGTACTATCTGTGTGAATATTGAAAGTTGTTTTGATTACTTGTGCTAATGAATATTACTTTGCCTTGTTTGGTGTTGATATTGGGATTGAAGTGGACCACCATGGGTTTTGTGAAGGACGGTTCGTGTTTATATGGATTCCTGGAGATATGATATGATTTTGACCGTCGCGCGGCGAACAAGATGGGAGATCGGGCGCCCCCGTGTGCACCTGATGATGTGGGATTGTATGGGAACAAAAGCCACACGAGGATTGGCTTTTCTTTGTTGTTGCGCACCTGATAATCTAGATTTGAATTGTAGCCCGCAAGGGGTGGGCCCTGCCGTGTTGTTTGAGCACTTGATGATCTAGATTGGCATGGAGACCACCGGGTTGCCTCCTGTTGGTATGGGAAAGGAAAGAGAGAGAATAGGGAAAGCAAATGAGAGGGGACCTGGTCAGTGAGGATTAAGACCGTTGGCCGGTGAAATTGGGGGATGGCTCCCTGGTGCAGCCATGTTATGAGAGGGCGAGCCCATGTGTGAGGAACGGCTCGGTTGTGGGTTTAGGTGGTTGCCACTTTTCGACTAATGTTCCACGTGATGTGATTAGTATGAATGTTGATTAATAAATTGTGGTTTGCTGTTGTATTGCCGATTTGGGTGTGACACTGCATGAATCATAAATTTAATCGATGAACAAATAAAAAGTATTTTAGCATCTGTATGATTGGTGTTGGGGTGAGAGGGTTGTATCTAACCCTACTGCATTGAAGTTTGGCGGCTCAACCCCTGCCTTACCTATTTTTTTTTTCCAGGTAAATAGAAGAAAGAAAAATCCTATGGAGTTGAGCATAAGTATAGAAGACTGTAAACGAAAAAAGCAAATGATGATATAAAGTGTACAGTAGAGTTCGCCATTGTATTCTAGTGGGTTGTAAAATGAACTGTATTGAGTGAGTACATGAAATTGAAATAAATTATTGGGCTTGTATTCCACAGTTATTTGTGGAAATGAGGGAGGGTTGCATAATATAGGCTTACTACGGGCTTTGGGGGCCTTAAGCCCACCCAGGTCCTAGTGCCGGTCCGGTCCATGGAAATGGGTCGTGACAGTGTTATATAAATATTGATATTATTTATCATTCAATTATCATAATTAATACATATTAGTAAATAATTACAATTATTATAATATTGTAACTTATCCTTCTCAATTAAAATTATATAATGTTGGTCTTAATTGTCATTCAATTATCATATTAATACGTATTAAATAATTAAAATTATTATAATATTATAACATATTTTTTAACTAAAATTATCATAATTTTGACGTTAATTATGATTTTAATATGTATTATAACTTATATTTTAAATTAATTATATTATTATATTAATATTCCATATCATTATATTCGATCATAATTATCATTTATTATTATGAATGATTTTATATCTAAAAGAATGATAGAGAAGATTAATGGTGAAAATATTTATTAATAGTTTTATTAACTATGAGTATTCAAATGTTTCAATATTTATTTGTCTTTGAATTATTTAGTTGTCTTTATTAGCTTTAATGATAATATATTTAATTGGTATTAATTGCTTATTGCTAGACTATAAATAGAGAGAGCTCTTTGAGATTTAGTAAGATTAATTCTATTTTATATTTTAAAAATTCTTATAAAATTTCTTCATGAAATTATATATTTTTTTTTTCTTCTAATTTCTATTACTCTATTAAATTAGGAAAAATTTAATAAATCACAAGAGAAAGCGATTTATATGAAATCATCATTAAGAATATATATATATGTTTACGATTGAATTTCTATTATCCATTTTATTTTTTTATTTTTAATATCACCTAAGAAAATTTATTAATTCAAAAATAAATTAATATCAATGATTTTTAATATATATTTCCTTTTCTTTCAATTTTATTATAGACATTAATTTTTATATAATTAGTCTATTTTTAATATATATTTCCTTTTCTTTCAATTTTATTATAGACATTAATTTTTATATAATTAGTCTAATATTTTGAATTTGAAATAAATATTCTTTAATTTAATAATTTTCAACAAAATTAACAAATATGAAATTAAAAATAATTTAAATTATAAAATTTTTCCTTATTAAATTATATATTTTAAAATATTATGGCAATATCTCTAAGTTTACAAATAAAAATATTTACAGTGCATAGTACAAGCATGTTGCTACTTGAAATATAAGAACCACAAAGTGATAGGGTCTCTAATTCAAGGACAACGGGTGAAAATAAGCCTTCAAAAGATTTTGATGTGGAAATAATCAACAATTCGTCCTATTTTTTTAAGGAATTCCAACAAAAAAATAAAAACGTAATTCAGAAGTCAACTTATGGAGAGTTCTGAAGAATACATTTATACAATCATATTAGATTCTCATCCTCTCTCTATATATTCATCTCGTATTTTTTCTCTCTAGCAAGTATAAAAATCCTTTAAAAAAAAAAAAAAATTTTCATAAATCCTCTAAACAGAAATTAATCAATTTCCCAGCACCACCTTCACAATGAAGTTCTCTTATCGACAGCAAACTTAATTCTGCTGATAAAATCATCAATTTTCATTGTTCCAAGCTCCCCGCTAAACCTAGATCTGATAGTGACGCTTTGTGTCTCAACCTCCTTGGCTCCCACAACTGCCATTAAAGGAATTTTCTGCTTCTCTGCATTTCTAATTAGCTTTGGCAAACGCTCCCCGTGGCAAACTTCAGTTCGAATATCATTACCTTTCAGTTTGTTAGTCACCTCTTTGCAGTATTCAAGCTGCATAATCACATCCAATATATGTTCATTAGATGCAATGACTAATATTCTCCACTCTCGAAGAAAATGTCCTAACATTCGATAACTATATAAATCATATGGAGCAGAATCTGAAGTTCATAACATCAGAAAAAGCCGTTACCTGTGTGTCGGTGACTGGCAAAACTCGAACTTGGATTGGAGAGAGCCACAATGGAAAATCCCCAGCATAATGTTCTATGAGGACCCCAAAAAACCGCTCTAAGGATCCAAGTACTGCTCTATGAATCATTATAGGCTGCTTCTTCTCTGTGTTCGAGTCAACATAAGTAATGTCAAACCGTTGAGGTAAATTAAAATCAACCTGCATACACATTTTAACATCGATTATTATTCAGTTGTGATAACTTCAATATTTTAGCAAATAAATGCTGAAAATTGATTTTGATACGAACATTTCCCAAATTTCAACAAATTGAAGCTCTAATGGGCACAAGCCTGTAATATTGTATCAAAAATGACTTAAGAACTTGCCTGTATAGTTGAGCACTGCCACTTCCTTCCAAGAGCATCCTCAATCTTAAGATCTATCTTTGGACCATAAAAGGCACCGCCACCTTCGTCAATTTGATAGTTCCAACCCTTATCTTCCAGAGCATCTCTAAGGGCAGATGTTGCCTTTTCCCATATATCATCACCTCCCACAAATTTCTCTGGCCTAGTTGAGAGGTTCACTTCATACTTGCTGAAGCCAAATTGCAATAATATCTCTTCTGTAAGATCTAGGACTCCTCTGATTTCATCTTTAATTTGATCTTCCAAACAAAATATGTGCGCATCATCCTGCAAATATTTGAAATTAAATGTCATTTATGTTAGTGAAAAAAAGATGGGACAGAAGAATGCATTGGGAACAAGGAAAAGGAAAAAGGAAAACATGAACTGCCATGTATCTTCCCAATGAGAATATATTTGTCCAGGATTGCAAGTATTAGTATTTAGACAATATGGCACATGCTGCTCAGAAACAAAATGGAGTCAGTTCTTCAGGGAATTCCATTTGGCAGAAATTATTATCAAGGTTATTCAACAAGTAGGTCAATAAGATAAGAGATGGTATACTACCTCTCAGAGCCTAATCAGTTATTCACGAAAAACATAAGATCATTGGAAACCAGCATGTAGATGATCCATAAACTAAAATACAATATCACACATCCATAGAGTTGGTTAGAAAGGTCTCACCGCAACAAAGTTGGCCTTATAAGTTAATGCCAATTTCTTTTTGTAGTTTCCGATTTCTGTTTTATTTTATGGTTATATATTTTCAAAACCCATATATCTAAACTGAACCTTCGAAACTAATAGCCCGAATTGTGTTGTACCTGGGTAAAACCTCTTACACGGAAAAGACCATGTAAACTTCCAGACAACTCATATCTATATACTGTTCCTAGCTCTGCAACCCGGATTGGAAAATCACGATAAGAGTTGAGCTTTCTTTTGAAAACCAAAATGTGATAAGGGCAATTCATAGGTCGAAGTTGATAATTTTCATCCTCAATCTGCATCTGATCATACATATTCTCTCTGTAGAAGTCCAGGTGACCACTTATCTTCCACAACTCGGCCTTCGCCACATGGGGAGTATATAACAAATCGTAACCATGTTTTATATGCGTTTTCTTCCATGAGTCTTCTATAATATGCCTAACAATGGCACCCTTCGGATGCCAGAAAACTAAGCCTCCACCTGCTTCATCCTGCAGCAAGAAAACTTCAAGTTGCTTACAATAAAATACTAAAAGAAAAAAGGTTGTGTTGTAGACTATCACAAGTAAAGACAATAATTTCAGAAGAGTAACAAAGCAACCTTGCCACCCACTGCCGCTAAATCACAAACCCCCCCCCCCCCCAAGCAACCTTGCACCCACTGCCGCTAAATCACAAACCCCCCCCCCCCCCAAGTGAACCGGTGGCTTGCTGTTGCAACAGGTGCTAAAGCATGGGTGTTTTGTATTCCATTGGAGCCCAAAGACGGGTTGTAATTGTATAGCATTACCTGTATAGAGCCCCCCCCCCCCCAAAGTGAAACCGGTGGCTTGCTGTTGCAACAGGTGCTAAAGCATGGGTGTTTTGTATCCATTGAGCAAAGACGGGTTGTAATTGTATAGCATTACCTGTATAGAGAAAAGATCAAGATCTTGGCCAAGGCGCCTATGGTCTCGACGTTTAGCCTCCTCTTTGAAGTGAAGATAAGCTTTTAGTTGCTGTTCATTCTCCCAAGCTGTTCCATAGATCCTCTGCAGCATTGGGTTTTTTTCATCTCCTCTCCAGTAAGCACCAGCAACAGATTCAAGCTCAACAGATTTCTTGTTTATAAGGCCAGTAGTTTCCACATGAGGTCCAGCACAAAGATCCCACCATTCTGCACCTGAAAAAGAAATCAAGAATGAGATCAAGAAAATAATAGAACAGGAGCTGCACAATTCATCTTATGGTCATAAGCAAGAACTAAACAATTAGGTTCAAAAATTTGCTTTCTAGGAAGTGCTTTCTAACATTTTTTTTCCCTTCTCCTACGAAAAAAATACTGCAACAAGGAATACACTTGGTAAATATATTTAATTTTGCTTTAAATGGAAAGTTCCTTACAAGAAATTACTTTTTGCTTTTCATAACAAGAAAACTTTTTTTTTTTGGAAGCTCATCGATCCAGTCCTTGCGCCTTCTTAATTTGTAACCAGTGGAGGAGTTAGGAAGGGAGAGGGCTTACATTACATTGTTGACAAGATCTATTGACCTCCTAATAGACCAAACAAAATAAAGCTTTTTGTTATCTAACTAAGCATTACTTTTGCATTCCAAATAGCATAAAGCAACTCCAGCAAGCAAACAAAACAGTGCCTAATCAAACCTGAAATTAATAAGCATGTGAGCACAACTATGGCAACCGCAAATTGGAACAGCGAGTATGAACTATGCAGATATGAGAGCAATTCCAGTATAGATAAACTGAAAAAAACTAAAAACTATACAAACCAGAATGGGTAATAATAACTACAGAAATGCCCTAATTAAGCCTAAAAAAATATAAAATAGTGTCTAATTCGATTAATAATTTAATACAAAAATTGAATCTGAGTAATCTACAACATTGATAAAAGAGATTGTGGATGCAAGAGAGTGAAGGAAAGAAAAGAAAAAAAAAGAAGATATCACATTGTGTGAAAATTAATTCCACAAAATTTTCCAGAATTCATTTGGAATTTCATGTTGGGATGTTTGGTCTCTTTTCACTCCCATTAACTCAATTTATTCAACATAAGAAAACCAAATCAATCATTTATGAATGAGTTTCTACCAAAATAGAAGGTAAAGAGTGAAAAAATATCACATAATAATAAGTCTTACCAATATGGTAGATAGTGATAGGATCTTCTTTTATGCTTTCCAAAATCTCCATCTTGTAAGGCTCATTAATAGCCATTATTCTTCTCTTAGCTTCATCTCTAGAAACTTCTTCTCTTACAAGGGGTAAATTTCGACCAATAATGCGATCCTACAGATGATGTAAGAAATAAATTCTGTACCCTGAAATCATAAGCCAGTGAAATTTTTTTCCCAATCTCATTTCTTTCGCAATGTTAGAAATCCAGTAAAACAACTTGTAGTCATGTATAGACAGCAAACTCACCATTTCCTTCTTAATCTTCTTGAGGTCTTTATCAGTCAAAGGCTCCATATCAAAATCGTAATAAAATCCATTATCTATCCACGGCCCAATTGTCACTTTTGCTTCAGGATACAGCTTTTGAACAGCCATAGCCATAACATGTGCACACTAGAAACATACAACACCAACTATTAAAGAAATGTATCCAAATCAATTAACATGAGTACCTCTGGATTGAATAGGTGATTGCACAGTGAAGTCCCATATTATCCCAATTCAAACTCAACTCCTCTCTTCTTCATACAATAAAATTAAAGATAACATATACATATACAAAAAGAAAAAGACACAGAACCAACTATTAAAAAAACGCATCCAAAAAAATTCCTAATTACTTGTAGACTAGAATAAGTAATTGCATTAACAAAATTCAAATTCGATTCGTTTACTTCATCATACAATAGAAACTCCATTTTCCCAGAAACCAGACACAGGATACAACTTAGATAATACATATATAAGAAAAAGAAATACAATTTACCGTGTGGCGAATCCTTAAGAGTTTCTCAGATGATTCATTAGTAGGAAGCACAATTTTCTCGGTTTCCTCTCTCTGGGTTTCTTCAACGACATCGTTTCGAGCCGCAGTCGCTGACTCAGTAGCAACTGCAGTAGACATAGAAAGGCCATTTCTCTTCCTATAAAGAGAACCAAAAGTCCTAGTTTGGGTTTCGGGTTGCAGCTTAGATATGGAAACGGAACGTTTTGCGGGACAATGAAAAGGCAATGGGGGATTTAAGAGGGTAAGTGAACTGGGTTTACAGGGGGAAAGAGAAGAGAGTAGAGAAGGATATGTGGCCATTTCCTCTATACCTTAAACGTGGGATTAGGCTTTGGTTCTCCCTTTTTTCCTTCGTATGGTGGAGGATTTCGCAAGTCCACTGGGTAGTGGATAGGATCCGTGGACTCCAGTATTGGGTGTGTATCTGATATGGGCTTTACTTGGCTTATTTTTTCACCCCCGGTTGCTCACTCAGGGATCATCACTTGGTCCCACGTTCCAAAATTTTTTAACACCGACTAAACTTTAATGTTTGCAACACAAATGTAACTATAGAAAATTTTCAACTAAAAATCACCGGAAATGTGACATGCATTACATATAGCATATGACGTGAAAAAAACCAAAAAAACAACAATTAAGCCAATTCAGCTGCTTGGGTGAATTCCACATAGACGCAAATCTCTCAATCTCTCTCTCCCCCATGAGAACACCTCATCACGACCTCCTTCAACACCACCATAATTACATTAATAAGTAATTGATCTAAACAAACTAAAATAAAAAGAATGAAAGTGATTTTCACAGGCATAATTTGAAATTCATTAAAAAAAACTTAAAATTTTAGGTAAAATATTGGATAAAAATACTTGATTTTTGAAACGAAACGGAACAGATTGATTTAAATCAAAGGGATAAGACACACCCAAAAATTTTAAAAAATTCAAGATAATTTTCAAGAATAAATCAGGATTTCCATACTTTCATGCACACCTTACGAATCATCCACATCCACACCCACAATTGCTAGAAGTTTTACTTTGTTGAATATGAATTTTCAAATTTCAAATGTAAAAAGTGGAAGTACTAACATAGATTTCTAAAATCTGTAAAAGGTTTATACTCTTAAAAGTTAAGCTGAAAAATCAGGAAACGTTCATTCAGATTTGACAACACAGCACTAAATTCTTCTTATTATACTTGCACCCTTTACAATCTCCTTGAGCAAAAGAAAATTGGGAATGTAAATAAAGCTTCAAAACATGATTGAATCCCACCAATCCTATAATTACTGAATGTTTGGGACAAATGATTATAAGAAATTAAATTCCACCTTGAATCTCCAATCATCAAAATTACTTCATCATTCAAAAATTTTATTGGCTAAACAAACTTTTGATATCCAATATGGATAGAATAGGCTTTATTCCACAATTTCTTCCTGCAAAATCCTTCATCAACCACATATCAAAACACTTGAAAGAACTAAAATTACAAACACAAAGCCAACCACCAAGTTCTTGCATTCTTATATGATTAATGTCGTTCTCGTGCCCGCCAAAGCAAGGAGGTGATGACACCGCACTGAATTTCTCGCAATCGAAATCGAAAAGAATTATAAGATCAAACTTATCATTATAAGCACAAACCCAGTTAAGTTTTTCTTTCAAATAGGTAGGAAATAGAAACAAATGAGGTATTTTAGGAGCAATTTCTATACTTCTCCAATATCCTTTTCCAAGAACATATATGTGTGCTGATCTCACATATGATTGCAATCCCAGTCCAAAACTACATCGTTAAAGACATGCAACATAAATAATCAACAAAAAGCTAAATAGCTACATAAAACTTACAGTAAAATCTACACCCAATTCAATCAAGAACAATCAAATACCCAGATGGAAAAACACACGAACAAGACGCAAAAAATGTTTTTGCTTCGCAGTGGTAGAGAGATGGGGAGAGAACAGTCAAAGTCGAATGTTGGAAGTGTACAGAAGCTGAAGTTTTATTGGGACTAAATTGACAGAAATATCCTTTGCCGCTTGCATCGAAAGTGAGAATGAAAATCAGAAAACAAAAAAGAAAAAAAGCAAAGAATTGTAGTTATTTTCAGTCTCTTGTTCCATAAAATCTTTCCCATTTTGATGTCACGAACCCAAGCTCAGTATCATTCTAAACTATGTGTGAGATCTTTTTTGTGCACCAGTCTGAGAAGCAAGATCATCCGATCATTACAATGGAGGAGACAACGCCAATATTGGAGGAGAAAGGCAAAATAGAGAGAGAACAAGATCGATCATTTGCAAGGGAAGGCAAAACAACCGATTGGTTTGAAGTGTGACTGAAACGGTGTGTTTCAGTTCAGCTAACTTATGTTGGGTTTCCTAACTTGGCGTGGGACTCATTTTATTATTATTTTTTTAATCTCAATTTTGACCAATTGCACATTTAGGGTGCAATTATAACATAAATTTGAAATTAGGGTGTCTGGGGGTTAAGTTCATTTGGGGTGCAATTGTAACAACTCATTAAGTTTGGAGTATTTGGAATGGTTTATCCTTGGTTATTCTTAGGGCTAGAACCGAACTCAAATGCCAATATTGCTTCTTGTCCTTCATCTTGACCTCCATTCTTATTGGTTAATGGAATGTTAATATATTCTCCTGTTAGTAGATTACAAACCAGAACTGAGTTTTTTATCCATAGATCTAGATAAACAAATCAGATCATTACATGAATTCAAAATATCAAAACGAGAACAGGAAATTTCATTACTCAATGGAAACAAGAATTTTGCAAAAGACTTTAGTTCATCAAGATCAAGTAAGTAAAGAGTTATTAAGAAGGATCCAGAAAAATCGAGTCGGATCATAATTTCCATTGAAGATGATATTTTGAAGTGTGATTCAGTGAAATCTGAGTCGACGATTGTATTGCATAGAGTTTTGTATATGGAGCAACATCTAAAGAGGGTTTTAGTGAATAGTCGAAGTAAAATATCAAAGAGGAGTTGTTTGGAAGCTCTGTTATGGTAAAATTTCTTCTTAGTTTTCTATGGTGTGACTCTAAGCAGAAATGATATTTCTGGGCCTCTGCCATTGACATTTTGGTTCGGTTTGGTTTATTCTAAAGTTGATGGAATTTGTTAGTCTTATGTAGAGAAGACCATGGTTTAGTTTTGTTAGTGTAATACATCTTGTACATAATTAGTTTCCTTGTATGATGCCCTAGCTAGCCTTGTATATATATAGCAACTCTTTGTACTGTATTACTCACGGAATACAATTACATGATATCAGAGCACCATCACAAAACTTAACCCTATTTCTCTCGTTTCTTAACCCGATTTCTCTCATTTCTTCTCTTCGGCTATCTCTTCTATTCACCAATGGCTGAGAAAATTCATCCTACAACCACCATTACCAACATCAAAACTCATATCCCAATCATTCTTGATTATGATTCGGCTCAATATAATAATTGAGCTACCCTCTTTATCATTCACACCAAAGCAACCTTAACCCATGATCATATTTCTCCCAAATCAGATTCAGAAACACCCAAAACCCCTGCTGATCAAGCTCAATGGGATCGAATTGATAATATTGTCCGTCAATGGATTTATGGAACCATCTCTTTTGATCTTTTGAACACGATAATTAATCCCACAGACACGGCATTAGATGCTTGGACTCAATTGGAAGAATTGTTTCAAGATAATAAAACATCACGAGCTCTCCATCTTGAAACGGAATTCACGAACACTGATTTACGTGAAGACACGGCATTAGATGCTTGGACTCAATTGGAAGAATTGTTTCAAGATAATAAAACATCACGAGCTCTCCACCTTGAAACGGAATTCACGAACACTAATTTACGTGATTTTCTCGATGCGAAGGCTTATACTAGACGCCTTAAAGTCCTAGCAGATCAGCTGGCTAACGTTGGTTCCACAGTCTCAGATCAACTAATTGTTTTACGTCTTCTCAATGGTCTCACAGATGCTTATGATGGATTTGTTACAGTGATTCAAAACAAGGCGTGGTTACCTTCCTTTGCCCAGGTACGATCCATGTTGCTCCTTGAAGAAATAATAAAAGCGGAAGTTGCAAAGCTTGATTCTGTGGATGCTTCTGCTATGATTGCTAAAACCGCCAGCCACTGATTCGGTTACTCTCTCCAATATCGACGCTGCTCATTCTCTTCCTCCTTCTACTTCTACTGGTGGCTGTCAACAGAATCAATGGGGACGTGGTGGTCAAAATGCTAATGGCGGACGTGGTCGATCTGGTGCAGGGGGTGGTCGTGGTTCTTCTGGTAATTCCTATGGCAATTCTTCTTGACATTCTGGTCGTGGTTTTAATCAACAGTCTTAGCGTTACATGCTTCTGTTTCCTCCATGGGGTACCTGGTATCCTTACTATTCTCAGCAACAGCAATGGAGTCCTCCTCCATGTCCGTATCCTAACTGGGTTCCTCGATCATCCACCTCCACTCCAAGACAGCCGGGTATTTTGGGTGCAGATCCAGCTCAATCTTTTCATACTGCAGTGTTTTTCATACTGCAGTGTCTTTTCTTCGAATGCCCTACACTCCAACTGACAATTGATCAAGCGATGTATACCTTAATCCTTTACAGCAGCCACCAGAACATTGGTATAATGGACAGTGCTGCCACTTTCCTGCACAAACTCAGGTACTTACTCTCACTTCTTATTCTCAATTAAGCCGAAGTAATGGTATACTTATTGGTAATGGTAGCAAAATTCCAATTCAGGGTTATGGTCATGCTGTTTTACCCCATACTAACCCACCTTTGCATCTTAATCATGTTCTACAAGCTCCTAAATTAATTAAAAATCTTGTTTCCGTTAGGAAATTTACTGTTGATAACATGACCTCTGTTGAATTTGATCCTTTTGGGTTTACTGTGAAGGACTATCCAATGGGGACCAGTCTTCTGAGATGTGATAGCACACGGGACCTCTATCCAATCACAAATTCCTCCTGTCTTTCTATGTTTTCTGCTCCATCTGCCTTTTTGCCATTTCTTTGGATCGGTGGCATAATCGTTTAGGTCATCCGGGGATAGATGTCATCAAGTCGCTTAGGGACAATAATTTTATATCTTGCAATAAAGACAACATTTCTTTTTGTAATTCTTGTCAACTTGGTAAATCTGTTAAACTTCCATTTTATGAGTCTCATACTGTTACTCGTATGCCATTTGATGTAATTCACAGTGATGTTTGGACATCTCTTATTTTGAGTTCTTCAGGCCATCGTTATTATGTGTTATTTCTTGATAATTTTACAAATTTATTGTGGACATTCCCACTTTCTCATAAATCTCAGGTTCTTAAAGTCTTTCAGCTTTTCTG